TTTATTTTTTTGTAATTATTTTATAATATTTAATTTAATTAATTTACAAATTTTAATATTTTCTAATCAATTTTTAAGTTAATTAATTTTCTAACTATCTTCTAATTTAATTTTATTACTTTATTGATTTCAATATTTCCTAATAATTTTTTTAAAAAAATTAGTTTATTTTACTAATTATGAATTTAAATATATTTTTTATTTAGAGATTCATATATGAATAAAGCCTTTTGGAGGTATTCATAGAGGAGGATGTTTCAAATGCACTTAAAAAAATGGACCCTTCTAAAGTGTCAATAACTTAGGTATGTGTCCCTTTTTATTTGTAAAATTTAATATTTTACTAAGAATGAGGTTTAGATTTCATCTTTTCTTTTAGATGATTGAACCAAATTTATATTATTTTGATATCGTACGTTAGAAATCTACATATTTATATAATTTTTAACTAACTAATTTATGTAACATTATTTTGAAGTTAATCTCTAATTATATTATTAATCTTTAAAACATCTTCTACATCGAATCACTCTTCTTATATAATTTAATTTTTTTGTCAAGTAGGTTAATCACTGATAATGTGTTGATCACATTTAAAATATTTTACTTTTTAAAGACATGCGAAAGAAAATTTTTAAATATTTTATTACAAAACTAGACATTTTAAAAGCATATGATAGAATATAATAACTTTTTTTTTACTATGTATGGTAACTAAATTGAGTTTTCATATATAATCTAGATATGTCTATTGTAAAATTATGTGTTGATCTATTTTGATGAATAGATATCTTAGAAAGTTTTTTATCTATGTCAAGCGAGAAAATCTTTTATTTACTTATCTATTTGTCTCCATCTAATTATGTATTCTAAAAACGATTCGTCTTTATCATACATTGTTGTTACGGGAGTACAACTCAAGAAAGCTCTTTGATAGTTTTTTTGAATTAATTCATCTTGCTCGTGCTAAAGCAATGCAACTTTGTTTTTAAAGATATTATAAATTTCAAAAATGTATTATAGTTTTATCATATTTTATATACAAATAACAACTTATTTATTTTTCAAGTATTCATAAATTATATATTAATTCAATACTAAAATAAACTAAAGTACACAAACCTTTATAATTAATGTAACGGCCCCGAAATTTTGAAATGAAACATGTGTATTAAAAATGTCAATGCGGAAGCGAAGTCAAAATTTCGATTAACATCCCTTACACTAAACCAAAAACGTGCTCAAAATATAAAAGATCAAACTAACTAAAAGAGAAATTCGAAAGTAAAAGTTATGAATATGACTATGGAGTCTTTAGGCGTCCCATTCGTCGTCTTCCTGCGGAACGGGCTCGGGAACAATGTCTTCCTTATCTGAAATGATTAAATAAGGAATGAGCTACACTAGCCCAGTAAAGACATCACGATATCTCACCGTCACGGAGGTAAAGGTGGGTAGAAAACACAAGAAGACCAATGGAGCATGATTTACAATAAACTCATTTATTAACATAAAAACCCTTACCATCCACTTACCTCGGTGAAATTCATAAAATAATATACGAAAGCAATAACATTATCATCATCATGAAATCATATAAACTGTATAACATAATACTTATCACGCCTTTTGTAATTCAATCATTACACAACATATTTTTTCTCATTTACCAGCCTACTAGTATCCATGGAGATCCATAGGGGTCCCGCTACCCATTAACCCTTAACACTTGTAATCAGATTCCAGTGCCGTCCCCATACCCCGTCCGGTATGGGCGCCAAAACTATAAACCTCAATACTACGTTCGGTATGAGGGTGAAACAGGCCGTCCCCATACCCCGTCCGGTATGGGCGCCAAAACACATAAGGTCCCCATACCCCGTCCGGTATGAGAGACCACAATCCTGGTAGGGTTCCCTACAGACCCGGTCCGTCCACCATCTCCCAGGATATTTAGTCAGGCTGACCACATTATATAATTATCTATCTACATAATCTTTCATTCTCATTTTCCTCAGTCAGCATCATCAATTTACATACAAACAAGCAAAACAGTAATTTATGCCAAACAAGACAACATACAGCATCGGTTTCTCAGTCATTCAACTCATAATCAATAAAACCGTAAAATATGCACACGAAACTATGAAATGAAAACATCAAACCTCATACTGCATTTAAAACTGTAAAACAGGCCAAATAACAGTTAACCGACAAACACACTAGACTCAGGCTCCATTAGCGACCTTAAGCAATTTCACACATTCGTTGATTCAAGAAATACCGTTTTATCATTATTGAACTTTAATACCGTGATAGGAAATAGGGTGAGGGGTCCTTACTCGTTTCGGGGTCCGAACACGGCTTTACAGTGCGCCTACAGACTGTCCCTAATTTTCCCTGAATTTTTCCCGGGGAACTGAAACGCACTACTGGTACCTGCACGTGTTCCAAAAAATCCCAAATTAGGCCCAGGGCCCCCTTTTGGCCAATATCGCAATTCTGGCACGGCAGCTCCGCCGTGCTCCGGCGACGGCGATTCGCCTCTGGTTGGCCGTTTTCGGCCGAATTCGGCCACACTTGCATCGGTCCCTACGATAAAACAACTCTAGGGCCCTCGGGGGGCAAAAAAATTACGGAAAACCGAAGCTTACCGGCGGCAGTGTTCTCGGGTGCGGCGGCTCTCCAGTGAGGTTCGTGTTTTGGTGATTCGGCTCCGATCAACCTGTAGAGAAAAGAATGGTGATCACGGTGATATAAAAATTGCATCAAACGGAGGCCGGGAATGGCCTCATCGGAGGCAAAAACCGAGGAGGGGTACGGCGGCGCCGCTGGGTTTCGGCCATGTGGCCAGGATTTTGGCTCCGATTTGGCCACAGGGAAAATCAGCGTGGAAAAGCGAGTCGGGGGTATGAAATTTACCTCAATCGACGGTCGGAAATCTCCCTGGTGCGGCGGCGGGTGGCAGCGGCCGGCTTCTCCGGCATCTGGTTCGTCTTCTCCGGCGAGGGCAGGCGGCTAGGGTTTTTGTGGTCAGGTGTGGGGGTTCTATTTATACCCTTTTGCCTTTTGATCTCAGCCGTCCATTTTGATTTAATCTGGGCCGTCCGTTTTTGATTGAATATGGGTCGTCCGTGCGATTGCATCTGGGCCGTCCGTGCGCACACTTGATCTGGGCCGTCCGATCGCGCGTACGCAGATCGCCAACGTGGCCCGTCCCCGGTCGACGTGGTCTTGCCATGTGGCAGGTCCTGGTTGGCCAGGGCTGCTGACTGGGTCTGCTGACGTGACTGTTGACGTGGCGCTCTTTTTTTTTTAACTTAATAAAAATAATTAATATGAAAATTACGAAAATACCCATATTTGGGCGTTACAATTAAAGTTTAAATATTTTAGTTAAACTAAAAAACTTATTCAATTTATAATTATATCATATTTAAATAATTTTTATACATGTTTTGTATTATATATATTAATATAGCATATTTTTTTGATAATGTAAAAATTTTAATATTTAGTTTTTAACTGTAATTTTTTTGAAAATTTTATATTAAAACCAAACTGAAACTTAAAATATCAGTTCAGAATTCTTGGGTTGGAGGTGATTATATATGTCTTTGATGGATAGTTCTTTGGTGACAAAATTCTAATTCTTGATTGTTACTAATTTAGAAAGGAATATATATATTATATATATATTCATCAAAAGAAAAAATAAAATAATTTATAAAAAGACAGGGGAGAAGTTGAAGAGTGAGGGAAATTGGTGTTCCCAAAAAACCCTCTGAGGTTTTGTCAGTTACCGTGCAGTACTCAAAAGGCTCCCCTAATTCAACCTAACCTTCACACAACACTCTCACATTTGTTCATAAATGCCATTCCTAAATCTTTTATATATATATATATATATATTATATATGTATCAATTATTTCTCAATGACTTGTGTATATTTTCTCTCCTTTTTAGGTGGGCTTGGGTTAAAATTGTAGGTTATTGGTTCTATATATTGAAATTGTTTTTACTAATTACAATGTTTAATTAAGTAAAATTTATTATCTAATTTATTAATATGTTAATAGAATTATAATAATTAAATTAAGATTATTTCTAATAAATCATGAAATTTTTATTTAACTCAATTTTTTAATAACTATATATATATATATTTATTACATAATAATAATGGAGAGAGAGAAGAGAAAAGCTGAAGAGACAAAAAGGGAAGTCGAAAGTCAGACTTCACTCCCTTTGCTTCATATCCCATCTTTTCTTGGCTTTTGCTTTGTTCCTTTCCGCCCTTTTCTCTTTTCTCTTTCTCTTTCTATCTCATCTCATCTCATCTCCCTCTCTCTACAGTACATAAAAATCAGAAAGGAAAAGAAAGAAGCCAAACGCGGCCTATTTATATTATTCTCTCTCACACGGTCCTTGTTCATTTGGGCTGGCACTGCCAGTAGCTGAATTGTGGTCTGCCATCCCTCTGTAACTTCACTTTCTCCGTTACAAAACAAAAATGAACAAGGATTTTGCCAAAATGTTTTTGCCTTTTTTTTTCTCTCTCATCACCCTGATGCATGCATGGAAAAAACTACTCATCCCACCCACACACACATATTATTCTATCCCAGATATTTCCAATCTTTTTACCTTGCAGTTTCAATCTTATTTCACTTACCTAAATTAATGACATCAGAACATCAAATAATTAAAAAAATTACATGCCAATGAACTTTTTTTCTTCCACTAGAGTCAAAACCCTTTGAGCATCTGCTGCTAAAAAAGCTGGTTTAAGACTTCATGATTTAGCTTTTGAACTTTTTGGCAAACTGAAAAAGAGAAGTTACATAACCAGATGAAGACATGATTTGCAGAAAAAGATAAACAGGAGTCAGGGAGAACATTTAAAGCTTTTTTCCAGTTACTTTTACTGCGGTTTGCATGTAGTTAGGCTTTTATCAGATTAATAATATCCAAAACTTGCAGCATTCTTGGATTATCATTTGGAAGGTTAAGCTTGTTTAATTTCTACTTGGCTGTTAATAATTAAAGTGTGCATTTCATACGATTCAAGGGCAAGAAAAACTAGCAGTAAAACATGAGCTTCTTTACATTTTCACGAAGTTTGGGTAGAGGTGTTGTCTTTGGAGGTGCAGCTCGTGAAATAGTACAAGTATTTCTCACAGAAGCTGTAGGTTCAGAAGATCGCTCAAGGTAAAGTCTGCCTCTATATGCAGCCAAGTGAGCATAGTAGGCAGGGGGAACTAAAGAAACTGGCTTCGTACACCTCACAAATGTGTAGCACAGATTGTAAACCAGCTTTTGGAGTTCATCAGAAGTGAAATGATTCTCATCCCACAGGACATGGTAATGTGTTGGACGGCTGGTTCCTTTTACTCCCCAGTGGCTACACAGGTAGAAATCAAATTCTCTCGGGTGAGTAATCACGGTGTCTACCACAGTTCCCGGAGGAATGTTTTCTTCAAAGAACTGATTTTGGGAGGAAGATGAATCAAGATCATAGGGAAACAACCTTGTGTGATGCCTCTTTTGAACTACAGAAAAAGTAATGGGAGGTCTATAACCAGGAAATCTTGAACATGCTTCTCTAATAGCTTGTAGCTCCTCTTTAAGCACCTTGTTAAATTGGGTTTCACTTACTCCATCCCGGAAGAATATGATTCTTTTGGGAAGTTGGGTTATTTCTTGGAGGAAATCATCTAGTAACTCCCCTACCATCGAAGCAAGATCCTGGATAATTTCTTGTCTATGGGTTTGGGACCTCATTCTTGAAACATACTTGTTGGCTGCAGGCCAGTTCATGCTTCCTACAACAGCAGCAACAGATGGGCTGAAATCATCGAGAGGATGAGGATGAGTAACATCAGCACCCATAAACATCACAGGCTCATCGAGCTGAAGGATACGTGGAATTTGAGACGGTAGCGAGTTGTACAAAGCAACTGTGCAGCCCCCAACCTTAGCATTCATTTTGAGAGCTAAGTTAGCCAGGAATTGTGAACTCAACTTGCTAAGGTTTGGATACAAACAACATTGGGTTACTACTCCCACACTTGTCTCTGCTATTCGCTTCAAATCTGCATATCCCTTGTGCTTTCTCTCCATTATGCACATCAGCAGCTGCAGATTGTTTGATGCAGCTTTGTGGATTTTCTTAAGCTTCGACTCAAGAAGGAAGACGTTGTTAAGTAACTGTGTTGGCTCAAACTGGGGACTTATTATTGTGTTCTTGTTAAGAAAGATGCCTAACTGTTCGCACCTTTGAGACAACTGGTTTATGAATTTTGAAATGTTAGACTTCTGATCAGGTGTGCCTCCAAAACTTATCAATGCCCACCTCTCTATTCGAGTTCCTTCAAAGACATGGCTGTCCAGAAGGTTCCACTGTCGGTTGTGGCGAAAGGGAGTTAAATCTCTTACATGACCACCATCACCAAGCTTAAGCTTTGGAGGTTGTAGAATTCTCCCACTCAATCTTGTCATTTCCCTTGAAACATTGAATTTGAACTCTCTTCCCTGATTCCCACTGTTGAGAAAGAAATCAAACACTTAGATACAACAATACATTGAGCATCATATTTATAGCAATCTCCCAAGAGAACTCAAGACAAAATTTCAAGAAAACTCGAACTACTTCCAACGTTACCTTGTTGGTCCAACAGGTCCTCCCATCACTCCGTCTATAAGGGCTTTTCTTTCTTTTGGTCTTTGGCAGGCCATCTTAAGTATTCTTGCAGTCTGATCATCTGAAAGCTTACCAAGAAACTTTTGGCCTTCACATATCATACAAAGCTCCATAGGAAGATAACATGGCTTGCTTCTACTAATCTGCAAGCATGGCAAGTTCCTGAATTGTATATCATAGTTGTAATGATCTTTGAAGTAAGTTAGCAGTCTCAGATTCTTCCCATCCCTGTCTGCAAACCAAAGATTTTCGGTAGCTTCCTCAGTTAAGCCGTAAACCCGGTACCTCTGAACAGTTTCTCTATGGCAAACAAAAACCCGGATGTTCCTCAATGCCTTCTCTACTTCTTTCCTTTCTTCACCACTCAACCTCCTCGTTTTCCTTTGAGGAAGATCTTGGAGAAACTCGAGACGCTTCTGCAAGTATGGAATCACTCCAATGCTCTCATGGAAAGCAGTAACAGAGAAATCCACATTGAGAGCAAGGCCCTGCTGGGTTGGTCGAAGACTCTGAAAGAACCCTCTCAAACCAACAGCTCCTCCCCCAATTTCCTTAGCACCTCCCATTGAACTTGAATAGAAAGATCTCCCTACAGATATACACTTCTCAGTTGGGCTCTCTCTCAAAACAACATCCAAAGCATGGAGGTAATCTTGAGGCAGTGGGATCCAATCATCAGCTTCCTTGCTCAGATAGCTATTCAATTCCTTCCCATCAAGCTTTGACACAAGTCTGATATTAATTCGGAAGAGTTTGAACTGTTGTTTCTTCCCTTCCAAGTCACTTAACTCTCCAAAAGGTAAAGCTGATGAATTGCTGCTAGTGGTGATTGGGAGGCTAATGAAAAGCTCAAACCTATCATTTTGGAATTCTATAGGGCTGTAAAGATTCTTTCTGCCATCATAGGCAGGAAGAGCCCCAGAGAGAGTAACTGGGTTGTCCTGCACCAGTTTCTGTTTGATCATTCGAGCAACTTCTTTGGATGGACTTGGAGAGATTTCAACATTGTAATGGTATATTCTTTGTGAGGAATCAAACTGGACTAGAAAATGGTTAGCAAGTAGAGATATCACTGGCCCTTCTGTGCCACCAGAATCCGGTCTCCTTGCAGCCACTAATGGTGGTGCTGCAGCGCTCATGATCCCTTCCCCATCGCCATCATTTCCTTGATAGGGTAAATCATTCTGCCCCAGTAGCCCCTTTGGAGCTGTTTCAGGCACGATGAAAGGCAAAGATGAGCAGTGACAACATTCTAGAATGCAAGTATGGGGTGGAATCTCATTCAGTTATACCTACAAATTACCAGAGGATTATAGCTACTGCAGAATCAATAAAACTAAAAGAGATTCGTGTAATATACCTTAGATTTCTATCTCGCTTACATCATATCAAATTTTTGGGAAGGATAAAGATAAATATTTTAGCAACAAGATTTTCCTCGTTCAGGTCATTACTGAGTAGCACAATATAACTTCATGCTTGGACCAACAGAAGCAAAAAGATAAAAATGTAAAATATGGAAACAAATACAACTTTGATTGACATCATAATCTCTTCTGGGTTCTTGTAAAGAATCTTCAACACAAGTGCACAACAAAGACGAGACATGCAAAGAACAAAAGAAAAGAAAGTGGACTGAGTCACCTGGGGAAATTGTGATATCTGTGACCTGGGTATGAGAGGAGGTAGCGAGAGGAGATTTATTGAGGTTACGTGAAAGTTTATGAAAATGGGTTTTTGATTTAAAGGTATGATTTTGAGGGAGAGGAGGAGCCAAAGCCAGGTGCAGAGGTATTGGAGAAGGCAAAGGGAGCAGAGCTGGGTAGTAAGTGTTATACTGATTGTGATTACACAAGGCAAAATGGTTGGAGTACTGGAAGAGATGGTGGTGGTGGTGGTGGTGGTGGTG